CGATGGCGCAAACCCAGGACGCGCGTCCCGGATGGCCCAGGTCTGCACCGGCCCTAACAGTTTGCTTCTAGTTCTAGGGTCACTTTTGATAAGGAAATCCACCACCTCTGCTCTCAATGGAGGTTTTGGACGTTTATTTAGAGGAGAAGAGAGTTATAAGTAAAAGTATATAGAGAAGGTGAAGCAAAGAAGTGTAGAGTACAGATACACTTTAAATCTCCATCATTCAAGCCATTGGAATCTTACAGGTAGCCCAGCCAAAAGCAAAGCCATGCATGGATGCTTAGTGTACTGGGACTCCACCTCCCCTATTGCCTCACCAATCCATCTAAAATCCAACTTCCAGTAGATCTATCGGTGGGACAGAAGAAATGACCTTTACTGGAAATGGCCTTTGCAAGACTTGTTCAGGATATTGTGTTCTTTCTATAGATGATTTCCCCAGGAGTCAGCAGGTGATAGACTTTAGTAACACATTACACAGAAGACATAGCTCAGGTCCTATGTTACTGTCCCGTATATATATAAGGAGAGGAGGGTGAAGGCAACACAATGAGCTGGACTATAGACAGGAAGACCCCAATGCTACTTGACAGGTGAGTCTGGTATAAGGGGACACCATGACTTACATTCTAGACAGTAAATGTTAAAAATTGTATTCATGTTTTTGGAGTTTTTTTTAGCATGTACAAATTTGTATTCATTTTTTTTTTTAATACAAAAGTACAATAGATACCTACGGCGCTGTAACTATGAATTTCATACCATGTTTCTAGTAATGTTAAATACAAATAGGTCAATTCTCTCTTTAACATAAGGAATAGGGGATAAACCTCCAGCCTGCTGATGGTACTCTGCTTATATCATATATACTTAACTTTTTTATACTACAACAATCAGACACAAGACCAGTCAATACACCGTACATAACACTTCTCTCTATATTGTTCCCCATATCAACCTCTACTAGAAATTTCTGTTACCCTCGAGATTTGATGTGACATCTGGCAATGGGCCATATCCCATTAAAGTCTACCCTGTCTTAAAAATTAATCAAGGGCAACAGAGTTAGATTGTTTGGTAAATTTGGAGTGTTTTGTAGCTCTTATGTTGGCCACGAAGAGGGCAACTCTTCAACAATTTAAAACACTTATAACCAGTTTTCAGTCACAAAGGCAACCAAAAAGATAAATGCAACCTACCAGCAATGGTTCCAATCAATCTACCACCAAAGGTTCCAATCAATCTACCACCAATGGTTCCAATCAACCCATCACCAATGGTTCCAATCAATCTACCACCAATGGTTCCAATCAATCTACCACCAATGGTTCCAATCAATCTACCACCAATGGTTCCAATCAACCTACAACCAAAAGTTACAATCAACCTACCACTAAAGGTTCCAATCAACCCACCACCAATGGTTCCAATCAATCTATCACCAATGGTCCCAATCAACCTACCACCAAAGTTTCCAATCAACCTACCACCAAAGTTTCCAATCAACCTACCACCAAAGTTTCCAATCAACCTACCACCAAAGGTTCCAATCAACCTATTGCCAATGGTTCCAATCAACCTATTGCCAATGGTTCCAATCAACCTATCACCAATGGTTCCAATCAACCTATCACCAATGGTTCCAATCAATCTATCAGCAATGGTTCCAATCAACCTATCACCAATGGTTCCAATCAATCTATCACCAATGGTTCCAATCAACCTACCACCAATGGTTCCAACCAGCCTACCCCCAAAGGTTCCAACTAACCTACCCCTAATGGTTCCAATCAACCTACCACCAATGGTTCCAATCAACCCACCACCAATGGTTCTAATCAATCCACCACCAATGGTTGCAGTCAACAGCGTGAAATGATGTAAAGTATTGACTGTAGAATGTTGTCTTCATTTTCGCTGTTTTAGCAATGGGAAGCTGGTTGCCTGTGCTTATAGTCTCTTTATATAGAGGGAAAGTGCAGCAGTTGGCCCAGGGGATGCCAACACTGCAGTCATATCCATCCACCCTAAAAAGCAGAGGTGGGATATGAAGCAATGGCTAAAATGAAGTCAAAGCACAATCCAGGAAAAAAATGCTTGTTTCTAATGAGCGGCAATATATTTAGATATTTTCTTTTTGTTGCTTCCTTTGTTATTTTGATGCCAAATGTTCTCCAACTTCCAATATTTTAACATGGAAAATTGTAGCGTCAAAGTGAAGGGAGAGTAAAGATGAAGACTACAAGGAGCTACAGATTGCCAAAACAGTAAAAAAGAATAGATAACCTATAAACAGAAGTTCCTTCCCCGTCTTCCTTCCTTTGATAATAACAATAACAAAGTGTGCCAGGTTTGGGTTGGTTTAAACCCTTGGTTCTCAACTGGTGGGTCGTGACCCAAAAGTGGGTCGCGAACCCATGTTCAGTGGGTCGCCCCATGCCTTCCACTTTTCTAGGTGAGAGGCTCCTCTGCCTCCCCCTTGCGCAGCACTGTCAGTTCTTGTGCCAGGCAGCCATTCAAAATATGCTGCCCGGCGCCGAGTGTCAGCTTGAGGTGGGGTGGGATGGGGTGGCCGCGAGGGAGCTCCATCCATACGTACATTGCTTACAGCTCCCTCAAGTGTCCTATAGAGGTGCCTGGACCGGAGTGATGTCACATTCTGGCTCCCGGCACCTCTACAGGGCGCGCAAGGGAGCTGTACAAGCAATGCACATATGGATGGAGCTCCGTCACAGCATGGCAGCCCGCACTGGACCCCAGGCTGAGAATTCACTCCAATTCTCGTAAGGTAGGGAGACTGGGTGGACCTTAAAAAAGGAAAAAAAAGCATTTCTAAAGCGTGTATGAGTGTGTGAGGCTGTGTCTGTGGTTGTGTATGTATGTAAGTGTTTTTGAGGGCCCGTTCACACTAGTACAGTGTGTTAATTGTATAGTCCGTGCATTCTGGTGTGGGAGGTGTGTTGCGTTACACTTCATTTGAATGGTACCCCAAACGCACCTCCCGCCCACAGTTCGTACGCCTGCACCAGAACGCGCGGTATCCTAATGCCATGCATTCCATTGCAGACATTGCACACTTGGGTTGCAACTTATTGACCAAGCACAAATGTGGGTCCTGAGGTTACACAGGTTGAGAATCACTGCTTTAAACTACAAGCAGAATATAAATAAATGGGCCGCCTTACCAACAACCGTGCATTAAAACGCCACTATGCGTGAATCAGGCCAAAACCATTGCCAAGGACCCTGCCCATGAAGCAATCTATCTAAACCCAAGAACAAAAATGTCATTCATTATAGATAATCAGTCGTTAGATGTGGTGGCTCCATTAGATTCTTTTTTCAGGCTCTTTTTCCTTTATTGACCAGTAACACACTTCCTGTCCTGTTACACAACACTCCCTGTGGGCTGCCCAAGTGCCCATATGGGCAGCAACAGATCTCTAGCACGTTTCACGCTGAATAGACCTTACATAGAGACACACTATTTGGTATGAAACGCGTTAGGATTTTGGCTGCTTGTACTGTATGTACCCTGTTTTATTACAATAAAGACACTTGCATCTAATGCTGGATTGTGCTGTCATCTGTTGTTCGAATCCTCAGTATTGAACTGGACGCGCACCTGGCTGTGGATTGCGGAAAACTGTTAACCAACCTGGGGCAATATTACTGCCTTGCATAAGTTTAGACGTGGGGAGAACATAAATCTCCTTGGTAGGAAAAAAATAGAACAGCTGTTGTGGATGCCAAGGGGCACCTTGACTGATGTCACATGTGGAAATTTACCATAGACAGGTTGGCAGAGATCGGGGAAACTTGCCCTATGCTACCGGCTACCAGGAGTAATTGTATTATCTTGTATTGCCTGAGGCCAGCAGCTGGCGCGTTGCTAAATTCTCCCAGTGAATGAGCCATTGTCTATGAACAGGTGCAGCCTGTGCTGGAAATAAATGACCAAAGATCTGTAGAGTCCTATTCAAAGTAGATCTACGCCGTAACCGGATAATTTATGGTTTGCTAAATCACTGCGTATCATAATCATTATTTTTTTTAAATATAAAATACTGCCATCACCTTTTTTAATCTTTTTTTTTTGCATGTCAGTGCTAATCCTCTCCAGCCTCTTTCAGCCACTTCTTCTCTTCATGCACCCGCTCCATCCATGGCTGCCCATCATTACTCTGGACCTGCCCTCTGGTGATGGTGGCCCATGCCTGAGCAGTAGTTGTTGGCACGGCTGCTTGAAGTCTCCAGCAGGGGGCACATTACAGGAGCCTGTGTGCACGCCATTAGTAACGCCCTCCTGCTGGGATCCCTTATTTGACACAAAGTATTTGTTTTCTGGACCTAATATGGCTCAGAATATTGTGATCAGGTAAATAACTTTATCTGAGATAATGATTTGTATTAATGATGGAATACACTGTGTGACCAATATGTATGCAGGGAAAGGGCCCTTATAGGTGTGTACTGTGCCTATTGGTAAATCCAGCCCTGAGCTTCCACCAGCAGCCCAAAAGCAGGCCTTAATGTAGAAAACAACTACCGGGTCTCCATTGGCCTTGTGGGAAATCCGGCCCTGATCTCCTACACCTAAAATCCTCAGGTGGTGAATAAAGGTAAAGGATTTATTGAACTTGATCAAACTCTGTTGGCGTCATCCGAGATTCCTAACCTGCTGGACATGTCACTGGACAATCTTGAGCTGCCACCTTAGCTGTTGATATGTTAGTGATCTACATGGTGCATTATGGGTAAGGGCCAAATGCATTCATTGCTATTCCTAACTATGGAGTTTTGACCATGGTGCACAACATTTAACAAAGGCAAATTACTTTTTCCTGCTTGTGTTTCTTTTATATATTGAACAACAAGAATGTAATTGTTTACGTACATACCATTGAGGATGATTCTGTGTATTTTGGCAGGTTCCTCTTGGATACAGCTAATGCTAACCTCTTGCATGCCCATTATATCCTCAGTGCATTCACTTAAGACTCAGACATGCAGAGCAGGGAGCCCGTTTACCGTGATGTGAGATATAGCATTGAACGTCCAGTATTCCACGAACAAGAACTTGGAAGAACGCAGCCTGGTCCAAAGAGGACCATAAGGTCCATCCTCCATGCAGCCAAGCGCAAAGTAAGGTAGGTAGAGAAAGTGCAGCGTGTGGGCCATGGGGTTGGGAATGTGGATCATGTCGGTAAGAGAAGCTTGGCCTCATCTTAAGCAATGAAGTCATCTTTCACCTGTCAGCATGTTCTTTGCACATATGCATGCAGCAGAGTCTGATTGGCCTCTAGCGTAAATAACTTATCATTAGCCAATCATGTCATTCTGCTATTACCTAAAGTCTGCTCTGCTTTAATAAAAGAAATGTCAGCGATGTGTCAATTTTCCAAAGCACCTGGTTTTGATTGTCCTCTGTTCCACAGCTGTTCCAGGTCAGCAGCAAAGGCCTTGTTGTTTCATTTCCTCCCAGTTCTGCAGTGGCTGCCGCACTATCCCGTCAAAGAATGGCTCCTGGGGGACATTGTGTCTGGGGTCAGTGTGGGGATCCTGCAGCTTCCACAAGGTACATTTCCATTTATTAGCACAATGCATGATACAAGTCGATAGGCATAGAGTCCGATTTTTACATCTGCACTAGAACCCTGAAAATTGGTGATCTCAGCCCCCCAAAACCTAAAGCTGGAAAGTTAACGCAGAGCTATGTTAGGGGACTTGCTGGGAGTAATAGAAGATCCGAAAGCTGAACTCTCCGGTCTTCCTTTCAGTCTTGCACAGTTGTAACGGCTCCCCTCCTGGACTGCAATTACTCTGATCTCATTACACACTGTGAGCTTCTCATAATGTGCATTCGAGCCCACTGGTTGGAGGATTTCCAGCATCATCTAGACCAGGGGTAGCCAAACCTCAGCCCTTCAGCTGCAGGGAAAGTAGAAATCCCACCATGCATCTGTTTCTGGAAGTCATGTCTGTGGTGGTCATAGTCTCGCAATTCCTTAGTGAACTTGTAAATTCTACAAAAGGAGGGCTGAAGTTTGGTTACCCCTAAACTAGACCCCCTGGATGCATGGTTGTCACAATGGTAACCCTCACCAAATGGTCCACTCCTGGGTTGGAGACACAGGCCTAGTCTCCTAGTCTATAGTCCTCCATTAGAGTTTGCAACAAATTACCTAAGCCCTGATGATGGGGATTGTTTTCTTTAAATTCAATCATTTAAAATACAAAGAACAGACGCTGGGAAATAGTTTAGCGTCCCTGAGAGTTAATGGGAAATGAGTTTATTGCAGTAGAAGTGCCTCAGACTTTTGACAAACAAGCCCATGGCAGGCTCAAAGTACACAAAGTCTGTTTATGGTCCACTTTGCGGTTCAGTTCAACCTGGCTCTCTCTGCTTCTGTTTCCAACAGGTTTGGCGTATGCCCTCCTGGCCGGCGTGCCGCCCGTTTTTGGTTTATATTCCTCCTTCTTTCCGGTGTTTGTTTATACTTTTTTTGGCACATCGCGCCATGTTTCAGTAGGTAAGTGATAAATAAAATCTTAAAATACACAAAAGAGAGATGAAACATTGTTTGCCGATGAATTTGTGATTGTTTTGTGCTGTTGTCACATAGAAACAGTGGGGTAACAATCGCCATAGCGACCCAGGCGGCCGCTATGGGGCCCGGCCAAGGCATCCCTCTGATGCCGTGCGGCCCGCCTGGGTCGCTATGGCATATCAGGGTGCTGGCTGTCACTGGCGGCTGTGAAGAGGCGCCGCTGTTAGATCACTGACAACCTGTCAGTGATGTGTGCAGCGGCGCGTTCTTCCTCACAGTCGCTGCTGAGCTGTGAGCTGTGTCAGTGATAGCCAGCAGCTGCTGCAGAAGAAGCTGGACCCGGCGTTTGCAGTGCAGGAGGAGGCGGGGCCCGGCCCGGCGACCTAAGAGCAGGAGGAGCCAGTGATGTAAGAGGAGGTGGGGCCCATCGATAGAAGAGGAGACAGGGCCCGACGATGGAAGAGGAGGCGGAGCCTGGGGATGGAAGAGGAGGCGGGGCCCGGCGACCACGAAGGCGGACAGCGCTGACAGGTAAGAGGTGTGCAGCCCACCTGAGACCCTGAGGGCATAACTAGAAATCACAGGGCCCCATACTAAATTTTGCTATGGGGCCCTGTGATTTCAAGTTACGCCGGTGCATAGAAAGGTTCCCAAAATAGCTCAGATATTTCAGTGTTTGGTAGATGTTGAAGGGTTAAACCCCCAGACAGTGCCTTCCATCTCTCGGGGACTCTGGTGAGATCTCTGCACTGAGTTCTGGGGTGTGTAGGGTTTCCGCCATTGTTGCTGCATTTTTATAACATATTCAGTTTGATTTGCTCAAGTTTATGACTAATTTATTTTAAATTTCATGTCGGGCTTTGTGCCAGTGATGCTTGTTGCCGTAGATGCCGCTGGAACCTAAATTGTACATATTCTGTATTTCCAGGAAGCTTTGCGGTGGTTTCTATCATGATTGGCAGCGTTACAGAATCGCTGGTGCCGAACGATAACTTCCTACTACCAGGGAATGATACAATCATTGACATAGTGGCCAGGGACAAAGCTCGAGTAGAGCTGGTGGCTGCCATGACACTGCTGGTGGGCTTGTTTCAGGTGAGGATTACTCCTTAAAGTGCAGGTTGGACAATAAGAAGTTCCACTATGGCCTCTTTTTCAATATGGCCTTCTTTTCCTTTCTGTCCACGTATGCTACGACTAAATGAACTACAACACGTATCATCAGTAGGCTTAGGGTGTGAACAAACTGTAAGCTGCGGCAGTACCTGAACACTGAAGGTTACAAAGTACGATATGGCCAAAAGCATGTGGACACCCCTTGAAATGATTATGGTCAGGTGTTTCACATGAAGGGTACAGGCTACGGCATACAAGACATTTTGAAAAATCCCATGCTTCCAGCCTTGTGACACAAGATTAGGGAAGACCCTTTTCTGCTCCAGCATGACCGTGCCCCTGTTCACAAAGCCAGCTTCATAAAGACAAGGTTTGGTGAGTTTGGAGTGGAGGAACTCAAGTGGCCTACACTGACCTCAACCCCACTGAACATCTTGAATTGCAATGCTGATTGCAAGCCAGGTCTTCTCATCCAACATCAGTACCTGACCTTACAAATGATTTTAGAGATAAATGGACACAAATTCCCTCAGACACACTCTAAAATTTTGTGGAAAGCCTTCACGGAAGGGTGGAGGCTATTATAGCCACGATGGAGGACAACTTCAGATTAATGTTTTTGAAATGGAATGTCCAAAAAGCTCATATAGGTGTGGAGGTCAGGTGTCCACAAACCTTTGGCCATATAGTGCACTACCCAGCAAGCGAGACCACGTTTTTTTTTCAAGGCAAAATAGTGTGGAAAAGTAGAAGTGCTATTAGAAGCCTCAATGATTTCCTTAATTCAGTTGTGTAGATGGACTGGGCAACCAATAAATGTCTGTTCCCCTGTTTCATCAAGTCTCTCCCTCAGAACACAGCTAGGTGAGACGTCTATTCATCCTTGATTGGGTATTACACTTGAAGGACCCTACAGCACGGGGTCATCAGATGTTAGAGGTGGAGATATGGTGAAAGCCTATTCCCATTCCAAACAGGAAGTGACTTGTTCATGGTTATTTTGTTAGAACCTCTTGCACAGCCTCACAGAGAAACACAAGCACACAGTCTGATATGCATGCTACACATGGCTTGGCTATAAACAGGAAGGAAAGGAGAACTATGGGGTTAGGGCTTTTCCCCATAGTTCTGCTTAGGGTAACGGGAGGACACAAACTAGCGTCCTCCCGTCACCCTAGGCTCAGTATACCACGAGCTACAGTTCGCGGTATACTGAGACGCCGGAACGGATCCCGGCATCGATGTCTGGATCCGCCAGCTGCGTGAGTGACAACTGGCTCTGCCTATCTAGAGGCAGAGCCAGCTGTACCCGCCCCCTCCCCCGTCCGTTCCGCCAGTCAGCGCTGGCGGATCGGAGCGGGGAGAGGGGAATCCAGCCCCTCCCCTGTCACGGCAGAGAGCCGTGACAGGATCGAGAGGTGAGCGAACCCGGTATGTGTTCGCTCACCTCCCGATCTACTGAGCCGACCTGTGACGGTCTCATTGTCACAGGTCGGCTAGAACTATGAGGTGAGTGAAAAGCACTCACCTCATAGTTCTCCTTTAACCATCTACCTTAATAAATACAACAGAGTATATACCATCGATATAACAGAAGACTGCCATCTGGTGACCGAAATTGTATACTGCAGGAGTTCTTGCTATAGACACAGTAATGTGTATTCTAACATATTTTTCATCAGGTTGCAAAATCTTTGAGGGTTTCAATTGCTTCATGCAGATAGAAATCATACCTCCCAGCTATCTGAGATGGAAAAGAAAGACGTTTTAGCACAAAGTATGTAGGTAAAGGCCACACTCCCGCTACACCTCCATTGGGTGGACCATAAAGAATCAATATGCAAAAAATAACTGGTTAAACCACGACTTTTTCTTTTATATTCGCTTTTCTAAGTAATAATTGCAACCACTCAGAGGTTCGATGAAAGGTTCAGGTTCTTAAACACCTTCGTTAATTAAATAATAAAAGGATTTTAATAACTTTATTAGTGGCCTGTAAATAAAAACAATAAGAGGGCCAACTGAGGAAGAAAGAGGGATCCAGTTCCAAAAGAGGGACAGTCCCATTAAATGAGACCCAGCTCGGAGCTTTTCAACCGTAATTGCTCAGTTCGTAGCTTACTCATAAGTAGGAATGACGTTGGGTTGGATCCAAGGTTGAGTTCATCCGAACCTGGAAGGAAACCAGCTCAGTCAGCTGCGACTGATACATCGTAAACAAAGGGGTGGGATGCTGGTGACATCATTGACCTTCTATGGCCGCATGGTCCCTATAAGTTCAACTATGTCACCAGCATCCCGCCCCTTTGTATACGTGCAGCTGCAGGGTATGAAGTGTCCCAGCTCCACCTGATTAGGCCGGGACATACAGCTCAACTCATCCCTACTAAAAGGTGCACAATGGAAGGTGTCATTGCTTTTATAAAAAATTACAAATATAAAAGAGCACAGCAAAAGAAACCTGATGAACCTACATTTAAATAACAAGAGTGTCAGTTTGCATACTTTTCTATAAGCATGGAACACCAACACAGCAGTGTTAAGGGGTCTCTGCACAATGTGGCCCCTGCTGTGTTGTATAGGGGTATCTACAATGATTACAAATGTAAATAATATGAAAGTAACCTTCCCTGCATACTCCATTGCCCCTCACCGAGTGTCTGTGGCCCAAATGTTTTTAGCCGTCGCTCATTATAAAAGTTTGCTTCTATGTTTATGTCTTCGGCAGTTGATTCTGGGCTTAGTGCAGTTTGGATTCGTGGTCACTTACCTTTCAGAGCCCCTGGTTCGGGGGTACACCACTGCCGCCACCATCCACGTCACCGTGTCTCAGCTGAAACATATCTTTGGCCTCCCGCTGAGTGAGAAGTCGCAGCCGCTGTCTCTCATTTATGTAAGTTTTTTCCTTTGTTCTTCATTGCTGTTCTTTCCAAACTAGAAAAGCAGACACATGAGCGTGAGATGTACAACTGGCCATTGTGAACAGAGACGGTAATGTATTGCACTGCACACAGATAAATGTATCAACAGATAGCAGAGTCATTAACACAGCTTGCGGGGGTGGCAACGATGCTGCACTGCTCCTGAATTTGGAGCAGAGTTGCCACTCTCATGTAGGCTGTGCCTGCTTACACTAAGGTGACTGACAATCATTTTGGTGTCACCCCCTCTGAAAAGCAATGTATCAATATAGCAATGTATCGCCAGCAATGTATCAATGCGATGGCGCGCATGTGCGATGACGTCATGGTGGGGTGTCACCTGGTATACGCTCTGGGTGACCCCCTGGCCTCGGGACACCCCTGGTTAGTTAGGAGGGCCCTGCCTGTGAGAGCTCACAATCTACAACATACAATACATTGCAGACAGCTTCTACAGTGCAGCTTGCAACCTAAATGCCTTATATGGAAAGCAGGCTATTCACAGCGTTCTAGTGTAATATTCACTGTGGAGCCTGCTCAGAGGACGCAGAAGGTAGGAGACCAGGGCAGACTGGTTTACCTGCAGGGGTAGGCAACCTCGGCACGCCAGCTGCAATGCCTCATGGGACTTGTAGTTCCGCAACAGCTGGAGGATGCCTGCTGACCTAATGATAAATGAGACTAGCATCATGCTCTATAAATACATATATGTCAGTTAACAAGCCTAGAACGGATGCCGTAGAGGGTCAGACCTGAGATGCGTTTCCTTCTCCTCTTCAGAGCTTAATTAGCCTTTTCCGAAGGATCCACAAGACCAACATCGGAACGCTGGTGGTCAGCCTCATCGCCCTCGTCTGCCTCTTTGCCGTGAAGGAAGTTAACCAAAGGCTGCGCTCTAAACTCTGCATGCCCATCCCTATTGAACTGATTGTGGTAAGTGATCCAATTTTGCAGTTTTTTATTTTGGAAAAAAATCAAATAAAATAATAAATTATATATATATATGCATTTGTAAAATATTAATATACATGTCGTTTTTTTTGTTCTTTTTTAAATGAGCCCTAATATTGCGGAGCTGAGAGCCATAGAAATGTTTGTTTATGTTTTATCCATAACATGACATCAGCCATCGTGAATATGTTCTGTCATATTTACCTTCCTCTCCTCCCAGCTTATAATCTCTACATCGGTATCATACGGAATCAGGCTTCATGAAAACTACGCCATCGGTATCGTGGGCGATATTCCTACGGGGTACGTGTCCGAGGAAGAGAAGTTTCAGAGCCGAGATTGAAGGGGATGTATGAGTCAGTCAGATTGTTAAAGACAACGCACCCCCTGTGCGGCCCATTTCTCATCTCTCAATGAGGCGGAGTCATAGGCAGAGCTCCCCCTAGTGGTTAATTTGTAAATCTCTCTATTTAATTCAGCAATGGAGGAGCATGTAATCATGTAAATGGTAAATACTGCAAATAATGCTCAATAACAGGTGCTCACTAGATGTACGCGATCATTTTCCTTTGAAGTACATACATATAGACTATTTTTTATCACTACGTGGTCAATGCGAACTGTTCCTTTAAGGGTATTCGCATCTCCTCTGTGCAGTCCGCTTTCTCCATAACACTCATTGGGGGGAATTTATCAAAACTGGAGCAGAAAAATCTGGAGCAGATGCCTATGGCAACCAATCAGCTTCTCTCTTCAGTTTGTTCAGTTAAGGTTTGAAAATGAAAGGTGGATGCTGATTGGTTGCCATGCACAGCTGCTCCAGATTTTTTCTGCACCAGTTTTGATAAATTCCCCCCCCCCCCCTTTACATTACTGGTTAAAGAATGTTTTTTGCTGTTTTTAAAATTTTTTTACAGACTGGTAGCGCCAACTGTTCCCAACCCGAACCTGTTCATGGACGTGGTAGGCAATGCGTTCGCCATTGCCGTGGTTGGATATACCATCACCATCTCTCTGGCCAGGATGTTCTCTATAAAACACGGCTATAAAGTGGACAGCAACCAGGTAATGTTTTTAAATGAAGTGAATAATTTGCATTGGGCCCTTTGTATACAAAGCATTTGAGAAGACTCTGTTGCTAATAGCAACCTGTCAGCATTTTCCTTACTGTCACCTTGTCATTTTTCATCACCGTGTGACCCATATCAACCAATCAGCATTTTCTTTTGTGTTGTCCGTGGCAAGCAGTCAGCACCGGCCTTTTTTTTTAAATCACTGAGCTGCCCATAGGAACCAGTCAGCACCCTCATTTCTCTCACAATGTGTACCCATGGCAACCAGTCAGCACCCTTTTTTTCCTGGCAATGTGTACCCATAGCAACCAGTCAGCACCCTCATTTCTCTCACAATGTGTACCCAGAGCAACCAGTCAGTGACCTCATTTTTCTCACAATGTGTACCCATAGCAACCAGTCAGCGCACTAATTTCTCTCACAATGTGTATCCATAGCAACCAGTCAGTACCATTTTTTACTGACAATGTGTACCCATAGCAACCAGTCACCACCTTTTTTTCCCTGACAATGTGTACCCATAGCAACCAGTCAGAACCCTAATTTCTCTCACATTGTGTACCAATAGCAACCAATCAGGGCCCTCATTTCTCTCACAATGTGTATCCATAGCAACCAGTAACCCCCCTTTTTCTCTCACAATGTTTATCCATAGCAACCAGTCAGCACCCTACTTTCTCTCACAGTGTTCCCATAGCAACCAATCAGTATTTTTCATTATGCCGTCCATAGCAACCAGTCAGCGTCCTAATTTATCTCACATTGTGTACTCATAGCAACCATTCTGCATCCTACTTTCTCAGCATTTTTCATTATGCAGTTCATGGCAACCAGTCAGCACCTTCCTTTTTATCACTAATTTCCTCATAGCAACCAGTCAGCACCCTCATTTCTCTCCCAGTCTTTCCATAGCAACCAGTTAGCATCTTCCTTTCTCTTACTGTGTTCTCCATATGCTTCTGGCGGCATCCAGTCAGCTTTTCCCTTTCTAACCTCCATTAGCCATGGAAGGGAATCGGTTTGGTTCCTGTGTATAGGGACAGGTTCTCTTTCAGGCATTTTACGGACAAGGCCTCATGTTGTTTTTGTCTCTTCTAGGAGCTGATTGCGCTCGGATTCAGTAATCTCACTGGGAGCTTCTTCCATTGTTTTGCGGTCACCACGTCAATGTCCAGGAGTCTGGTGCAGGAAAGCACGGGGGGGAACACGCAGGTAACGTCGGTCATAGACACGCGAGCCGGTTCCGGCTGTGACATGTATATTCTACCCCCAAATGTTTTTTTGTCTAGTTTTGGATGGAGTGGGGAAGGATTAGATCCCCTATCAGGGTTGACTGCTGTCCAGGACACCGTTAGAGATTCCCCATTACTTCCTGTTTTGGTGACACCATTTTCACCAGACAGGAAGTGAGGTAAACTCATGTGGCCATGTTTGGGGAAATGATGTCAGCACAAGCCTCCCGCCCCTTTGTTTATGGTCAGCTATGGGGCGGGTTCGGTCCAAACCTGAGCTCACCCCGAGTACCCAGTTAGAATCCAGCTGGTATATTCTAGTGTAGTTTAGAAAATGAAATCTAGCACACGATTGGCTGAAACTGCAAGCAGAGGAATTTGCTATTAAATCAATTGAGCTATATATCATTTAACCTAATATGTCCTAAAACATCAATTCCAGATCGCTGGATGCGTGTCCTCCCTGATTATCCTGGTAATCATTCTCCGAGCCGGGGAACTCTTCACGTGTCTTCCTAAGGTAAGTCATCACCATGTATACAGTGTAAGTGTAGTAAGTCATGGCAGCATACCAGTTCCAGGTCACATGACCGGAAGCCTCCATGTCAAATCACGTGACCCGCATTACGTCTGCATCGCAAGAGATGGCGTCGGCCGCCTCTGCTTTGACTGAAGACTCTACTGATGTCACTTCCCTCCCTGCCTAATGTCTGCCAGTTTCATTTTAATGGATTTCAGTGTACAAGTAGAGATATGTTTTTTTTTATTCTTTTACAAGTAATATTTTTAAAACATTTTTGTAAGTAAAAGTATACTTTACATTTTTTTATAAGTAGAAATATTTGTTTTAATTTTTTATAATGTGACATTTTTTGTTATAAGTAAAAATATTTTTTTAGTTTTTATTAAGTCAAAATATATTATTTTGTAATTTTTTTATAAGTAAATGTTTTTAAATTATTTTTTATAAATAATATTTTTTTTGGTTTTTCTCTAATACCAAATCTGTTTTTCTCTAATATTTTTTTCCCTGCACCAGGCGATTCTATCAGCGATCGTCATTGCCAACCTGAAGGGCATGTACAAGCAGTTCATGGATATATCGGTCTTATGGCGAACCAACAAATACGATTTGGTGAGCATCTTCCCTGCTTCCTTCTAGTGATCCTTCTATTCATTTCTAACTAAACTTGTCACACATGTAGAGCTGTAGAGGTGACAAAGAACACCCACATGTACTGGGCATGCTCTGTGCAAGCGACTTCTATTCACCTATAGCTTAGTGACCCATGGAGAGGTCCAGATACTGTGGGGGAGGGGACTGCCGGAGCGCTGGGAGACGAAAGTCACCCTTTACATAGTACATTACATACTCCTGCCCCTGCACTCTGTACATGACATACTCCTGACCCCGGCACTCTGCACATGACATACTCCTGACCCCTGCACTCTGTACATGACATACTCCTGACCCATGCACTCTGCGCATTACATACTCTTGACCACTGAACTCTGTGCATTACATACTCCTGACCCCTGTACGATACAAACTGTTTTCGGGAGCTCCCGAATGCCATTCGGTGTCACGTCTGCGGTAAATACAACAGTTGGATCACAACTGCGGAGTAATTGATCAATCAGATATGAATCTCAGGCGTCACTCACAATCTTAACGGTGAGTTTTGAGATTCTACCATCATATAATCAACGTAAATCAACACAACTGCAAACAGTACTATTGCGTCATAGCCTGTGGTTTGAGAACTTTAAATACAGGAATGCAGTGTGTGGTGCTGGTTAAAGAGCGGATTCTCAATAGCAGCCTAGCACACAGTTCATATATCAGCCAGCAAGCATTAAAGGCAGAGGTGGTTCTCCCACAGGAGGGGTACTTGCGCTTTTGGATGCAGCTAATGGTAGCTGAGTCTACAAGGTGGCTCCTTTGGCAACACTGCGCAGGTCCGTCTTCCAGATGGCAGCAGGGTGGTGAGCAGGGTCCCGAAGGTAGCAGGATGGTGTGCAGGTTCGTGAGGCAGCAGGCGTTCAGACCTCAATCACAGAACGCCATGCTGCTTCATCAGTGCCTTTAAATAGGGCCAGGAAGTGGGGAGGGACCGCTGATAGGCCCGGACGACTTCCGCGTTCCACCGTGGAACGCAGCCGCCGCGTCACAACCAGGAGTTCGTGCGGCTTCCGCGTTCCACAGTGGAACGCAGAGGGCTGCGGCAGAGACACAAGAGGCGGCCCCATCGGCGATATTACATTCGGGTCTAGAAGTCTCAGCTTTAGTATTATATGTATATACTGAATACGAATTTTACGGCGTGTGACTTTTCTGGCCAATCAGATGGCTCCCATGTTGCCGTAATGAAAATTTGTGGTCAGACCCATTCAGGATGCATTAAACCGAAAAACACATCTGATTGGCCAGAAGTCACATGGCCGATTCAGTTTCTTTCTTGAACGAAATTCGGACAGGATACGAAATTTGGAAATGTTAATTCGAATTTGGATGCATTGGGATTTGTAAATTCGTCCGAATTTTGATTTGGAACTAAACGGATTGCACATGTCTAAAGGTGACGCTGGGTAATGCCTGAACAAAGATGGCACCGTACATCTGTAATATAAAAAAGGCCAATGTCAGGGATACTGTGATCCTTGGGAAAGATATTGAGTAGGGATGCACCAATACCGGTATTTCGGTACCAAGTACGAGTACCGATATATTTTTTTTGGTACTCGCCGATACCGAATACCGAGTACCGGAAGTCCCATTCAGGAAGCCAGGCGGGGTGTAATGCCTCGCCACCCCGCTTCCGGATTAGCAAGGAAGCCGTCCCCATGCTTCTCGTCGCTATGTGACGAGAAAGCATGGAGCCTGCTTGCTGGCCAATCAGGCATGTAGGCGCCGTGTAATGATGCGGCGCTCGGCTTCCTGATTGGCCAGGAAGCTGGCTCCATGCTCCCTCGTCATGAGGTGACGGGGGAGCATGAAGGCGGCTTCCCAACCCAACCGGCTTCCTGATTGGCCGGGAGGCCGGCTTTATGCTCTCTTGTCCAAAGTGACGAGGGAGCATGGAGCCAACTTCCCGGCCAATCAGGTATCGGTGCATCCCTAGTATTGAGTACCTGGAAGTGTTACAATGTAACAATACTTAGCATGCATTCACTTGTTATATATCTGATGATAGGAGGTCCAGCTGTCACATTAAACCAGCACTTAGCACCTTGTGTAACACGAGAGCCGTCATGTTCTTTAAGCTTTGTACTCGGCAACGAGCCAAAACCGATAATCCAGTCCTTAGTCCTTGACTTTCCATATAACTGACAGGCCACTGACGGGCTCTCTGCTCTCCCTTCCAGCTAATATGGTTGGTGACTTTCCTCTCCACCATCTTCCTCAACTTGGATATTGGACTCGCGGTTGCGGTCGTGTTTGGATTATTCACGGTGACATTCAGGACCCAGCTGTGAGTTTCATAAGTAAGCCATGATCGTATGCAAAACAACCGTACGGCCATATTGTCCTCATCAAAGTTAAACGGTGAACGGAAATTTTTTTCTTATGTGCAAGAGAAGATGTATCGGTATCAGTGCATCCCTAATATATATATACAAACACACACACACACACACACACACACACACACACACACATACACACACATAATGTATATCCTTTGTATAAATCACATTCAGTATTGCTTATTTTATAACTTCTTTATTTCACAGACCTCATTACTCCGTCCTGGGGCAAATTGCAGAAACGGATATATACCGAGACGCAGAAGGAAATAATTTGGTAATTCTATCATGTAGATGGGAGGTAGCCATGGTCACTGATAGGAAGAAAAATATTTATCAGTAAGAACAAAATGTTTTTTTAGGGGGGGGGGGATCTGTCTGTACAGAAATAAGCGGGCTGCCTCTACCGACTTAGCTTTGAAGGTGCAAGGTCCAAGGCTGTCACCTTAATCCATCTACTTGGGGTACTGACCTGGAACAAGCATGGATGCAGTGAAGTGTGAAGTCCCAAGCTGTTAATTCTGTGTGTGACTTCTCTGAGGAAATTTCTCCTCACTTCCTACTCCCCCTCCCCCCTTATTAACCCCGACACACATAAAATAATACGCTCTCCCCTTATTAACCCCCACACACACAAAATTATAATACACTCAACCCTCCTCACCTGTTCACGTCTTTGCAGGGAGGAAGCTGTGAGCAGGATTGATCCCTGGTTATCTGGGGATGATTAGTGTGGTCTGCAGCAGACCTCACTAATCACCCCCAGATAACCAGGGATCGATCCTCCTCACATACATCCTTCCCGTCGGCCGGAAAGGATGTCTGCGACCGTGTGCCTGACATGGCAGCTGGCTGCGGGCCACATAGTACCGGTTCGCGGGCCGGAGTTGTTCCGTGGACCGGTACTTGGAGCCCTCATAATAAGAAGGATTAGAACATTTGTCAGGTTTATGTTGCTCTTCCTATCCAGCTGGCACATATTTCGCCTATGCTGGTGTCACCAGGACAGGAAATAAGGGAAAGTCTACTCAATGGGTACACAGGCAGCAACAAAAATATCCAAAAGACATATCGACGAGGTGCTGAGAATTCAAATCTCATTCATTCAATAAAACAGGGAAAACAAGATTTTTTAACAAGCTCGCTGGGTTTGGTGAAGCTGCCCACATAAATCAGGGCTTTGCTTTGGTGGGTATCCACAATATGACTCATAACGTAAACACTCAACAGGAGCGCCAGACCGAATGGTGGAAATCTAAGAAGCTTCAATGATTTATCATATGATCACATAAAACAGCCAACGCATTTCAGAGGCTCAAAACACTCCCCCTTCATCAGGACTTGACTATTGCATGTGGTCAAAGGACGAGGCCAAATTACTAGGATACATCGACTGAACAGTATTAAATATCTCCAGAGGAAGTGAGATAGTAACACTCTGCTGTGTCACTGACCCTGGAGATATTTCATATATCACCATTCAATCAACGTATCCTGGTAATTCTGCCTATCTGAGTCCTTGATCCACGTGTAATGTTCAAGCCCTGATGAAGGGGGAGCCTCTGAAACGCGTTCACTGTTTTATGTGATGATATGATGAATCATTAAAGGAGTTGTAAAATCCCGGCATCTCCTCTCCTGTTATAACATCAGCATTGTACTAGGAATTTATACTGGAGTTTTTTCTGATAATACAATTAAAGCTTACGTGAAATTGTCAGGAGCCATAGCGCCTCCAGGTGGCGCTGGAACTAGGTCCCGCGGTTCCTGCGCTCACCTGCAGGTGTTTCCATGCAGCCAGGAGCTGTCAGGTACCAGACCACCACTGGGTGGTGCTAGAACCTGCAACTCCAGTGCTCACCTGCGGGTGTCTCCCAGCTGTCAGCGATTATTCTCCACCTGGTGCTACCTGGGAGGGTATTTAATCCCTCTCTGCAGTTAGGACTTTGGCTCAGTATTGTTGCCATGTCCTGAGTCCTGGTGCCCCCTAGTACCCTGACCTTTGCCCCCCTTGTGTTACTTTGCTCCCTGGATTTACTTGTCCTGCTACCTTGTTGTATGTGCTTGTGTTTACATTTAGTTAGTTACTATTACTTGTTTGTGGTAACTTGTGAGTGTTGGTGGGGTTATTTGTGTTATGTTTTGGTGTGTATAATAAATAATATATAAGCTCAGTGGGAGCTTCTGGTGTGGTCACGTATTTGGTCCTCTCGCGTGGGTACCTGCATGCGGTGTGAGGACACCAGTGCACGGTACCCTGACAGAAATGGTGCCAGTGCATTGAGGAAGTCCATCCTATGGGCACCTTCAATAAGTAAGTTTACAAACTTCTAGATGGATCTGGATATTAGGAGCGGGATAGAACTTATGGAAATTCAATATAGAAATACAGATTTAGTTTTAGATATTGACCATAGATACCATTTAAAGCTACTTTCACTCTTCCACCATTTGGTCTGGCGCTCCTCCTTGAGTTTTTTTACGTTTTGCGCAAGCAAAACTTGACAAAAAGTAAAAAAAAAAAAAAGGTTTTGCTTGGAGCTGCGCTTTAAATGTACAAACGCTTGATGTTCTATTCTCATTTCAGGCGAAAGAGATTCCTGGAGTGAAGATCTTCCGCTCAAGCTCGCCCATTTATTTTGCGAATGCGGAGCTGTTCGCCAAAGCCCTGAAGATGAAGGTGAGGGGTGTCGCTGTTTCTCGGTGTTGACAACCAGTTGTAAAGTCGAAGGTTTGGAGATATCAGTCCAGTAATCAAAATGGCGTCCGTCATTAAAAGACTGAAACAAAAAAGTCAAAATCACAAACGTGTCTTTCAGATGGGGGTCAATGTGGACAAACTGATTGAGAAGAAGAAGAAAGCCCTCAAGAAGAGGAAGAAAGGCCTGCACAAAGTCATGAACCTGGCCAAAATGATCCTCGCCAAGACCCAAAAGGTGAACGGTGGTGAGGAACAAATTATGACAGATGTGTGTGTGTGTGATATATATATATATATATAGTGGGGAATAGATCAAATGGGGATCACCTTCCCTGGGAAAAGAAAGTCCACACAGCAAAGTTCTTTGAAATCGGACTTTGTCAGTTATATGTAAAAGGTTGCAAGGTGAAAACAAAACAGAAAATAAATCCTTGTTATCCAGGAACTAACTAAACAAACAGCGTTCCTAGAAGGATCCATTCACAAATAGCATTTGCATTTCCTGCACGGAAGACCACGCGGGACGAAAATGCTAACATTTTAATCTGCACTGATTCCGATCGTTTGCAGGTCACATAGCCGCATAGTTGCAGGGCAAAGCCGCAAACAAGCGGATTCTGCCGTATTATCGCGCTTGCACTATTTTGGGGTCCATGCGGTTTCGTACCGCGTGGTCCCCGCAATAGTCTGAACAATGCACATTAAAATGCATTGTTTTTTCTGTTTGCTCTGTGTGTATTCGGACAGTCGCTCCAGTGTGAACAGGGACAGATTTCCCACAAGGCCAACCAAGGCCCGGCCTTGGGGCAGCAGGGAGTAGAGGGGCAGCAGGGGTGTGGAATTCCTATCTCCCGATGCAATTTCCAGGTGTAGGTAGGTAGTTTTCTACATTTAGCCGTGCTTTGGGCAAGCAGAGCTAAATGTACAGCGGGGAAGCCGCCACTTGTTTTGTACATGTGATCCCGGCGATGTCGACGAGATCACTTGTATGCAACCTGCAGGTCTGCTATTCTCCATGGGGGGGGGTTTGGTGGGTAGGGGGGCGCATTGGGGAACCTGGCCTTGGGGCAGCAGAGAGAGTTAATCCGGCCCTGTGTGTGAATGAAGCCTAACAGGTGGTGAGCTACTCCCGGCCACCTTACAAAACAAAAGCTTTTCCAGCAACCTATTACTCACAACGTGTCCAACCTGTAGCACTCTCTCAGAAGGCTGTTCGAGTCCCAGGCCAGAGCGTCCTCAAGCTCCAGCCTTCCAGTTTTGTCTCACCTGGATGATCAATTATCAAGCCACCAATCAATCAAGGTGAGAGACAAAACCCGAACTGGATTACACAGACCCAAAGTGTACCAGAAAACCAGGTCTGGATTCAAGCACAGAGAAATCGAGGGGAAATATATCACCCCCCTATGATTTCCCCTTTTCTTATTTCACAGTATATATAATATATAAATCACAGCCAAAGATGTCTAACAGTATAAAAATATCCTACATGGATAGATGAAGGGTACTCCAGAGTGTAGCAGAACCACTGGAGATGTTTCTGCTGGAAAAGGTTTAGAGGAGAAGTTTGATCCTCTCATATTTCGCCTTCCTTCGTTCCTCATTTCCCCTCCTCGTCAACATGCTAATCTCATCTACAAAATGACTATGTTAAAGTGGACCTGTCAGTTACTTTTTAGGTCTGCATTAATAATTACCTGAAAATATACAGGGACAGTAAAATCTTTCAGAAAAACTCAAAAGTAGTCTTTGCGCTCCAGTCGAGTGACTCTGCCTAGGCTGAGAGGATGTCATCAGTCTGCTGCAGGCAGGTAGAAGCATTTCCTCAGTCTCCCCTCATCCAGTGATCAGTCTGCTGCAGGCAGAAGGATTTCCTCAGTCTCCCCTCCCCCAGTGATCAGTCTGCTGCAGGCAGGAGGAGCAGGATTTCCTCAGTCTCCTCTACCCCAGTGATCAGTCTGCTGCAGGCAGGAGGAGCAGGATTTCCTCAGTCTCCTCTACCCCAGTGATCAGTCTGCTGCAGGCAGGAGGAGCAGGATTTCCTCAGTCTCCCCTCCCCCAGTGATCAGTCTGCTGCAGGCAGGAGGAGCAGGATTTCCTCAGTCTCCTCTACCCCAGTGATCAGTCTGCTGCAGGCAGGAGGAGCAGGATTTCCTCAGTCTCCTCTACCCCAGTGATCAGTCTGCTGCAGGCAGGAGGACCAGGATTTCCTCAGTCTCCTCTCCCCCAGTGATCAGTCTGCTGCAGTGCGGCAGGCCAGGAGAAGCATTGCCTCCTCTACCCCAGTGATCGGTCTGCGTCAGGCAGGAGGAGCAGGATTTCCTCAGTCTCCCCTCCCCCAGTGATCAGTCTGCTGCAGGCAGGAGGAGCAGGATTTCCTCAGTCTCCTCTACCCCAGTGATCAGTCTGCTGCAGGCAGGAGGAGAAGGATTTCCTCAGTCTCCCCTCCCCCAGTGATCAGACTGCAACATTGTAACTTTGCAGCAAGTCACAAGATGGGATTTGCAGGTGTCATCTCCTGGATTTTTATTTGGCAAAAGACTTAATTATCTACATTTGGATGTTTCAAGAGATTCTTTTATTATTTTATTAAACAATATAAAACTACCAGACGTGTAATTGCTTCTTGTCATTTTTTCCTATGCAGGGAAGCGGTTTGGAATTTCTGACCAACAGCGAAGGAGTGATAGGAAACCTGAAATCCATTAGCGAGTCCGTCCTACAAACTACGCCCACCCTCCGCTCTCTTGGCCTGGAGAGACTCGACTTCAGCTCCTTAATCCTGGACTTCTCAGCCGTCTGCTTCACAGACACGGTTGGGATGAAAATGTTAAAAATTGTGAGTATCTATAATCACTCCAGTGGGGGAGGAAACTGAAATGAAACACCTTCTTCTTGTAAAATGGGGAAGAGTAAGTCAGCCTATTACTGCCTGTGCCCCCTTTCCCTAGTGACTACAGGAGACAAGGTGACATTTTGCCAGTGGGGTCTTACTTTACTTACTTTTTTTTAGATGTCTTGAGGCTGGTCATGTTACACGCTGGGAATTCTTCCTCTCCCCTCCTGTCTCCTGCCCAGGACAGTCCTCTACTAATGCAGAGAGCTGCACCGGTGTGATTATGTCAGATCCACTTTCTGTTTTAATATAATATGATTTAATGGTGCCATGGTGGGCCATCAGTCTTCTGGGTTGAGGGACACTGGTCATTATTCAACCCGGAAGACTGAGGACATCTTGTGGCAAAGAAAGAAGTACTTGGCCAAATTTGGCTTTAAAAGGAGAAGTATGAGGTGAGTGCTTTGCACTCAGCCTCATAGTTCTAGCCGACCTGTGACAATGAGACTGTCACAGGTCGGCTCAGTAGATCGGGAATTGAGCGAACACATACCGGCGTTCGCTCACCTCTCGATCCTGTAACAGCTCTCCCCCCTCCCCGCTCCGCCAGCGCTGGCGGGTACAGCTGGCTCTGCCTCTAGATAGGCAGAGCCAGGTGTCACTCACACAGCTGGGCGGATCCAGACATAATTGTCGGGATCCGCTTCAGCTGCTGCATCTCAGTATACCGCGAGCAGTAGCTCGTGGTATACTGAGCTTAGGGTGACGGGAGGACGCTAGTTTGTGTCCTCCCGTTACCCTAAGGAGAACTATGGGGAAAAGCCTCAACCCCATAGTTCTCCTTTAACTTTTCCCAAGATTATGGAAAACAATATGAATGAATAGCACCATGGTGACATCCTTTAGTGGGGTCATGACTCCTATTCCGTCATTGCATGTCCTCAGTCTTCCAGGTTGAATGACACTGACCGTCATTCAACCTGGAAGACTGAAGACATCTTGTGACTGGAAAAACAAAGTAGTAGAAGGAAATTTTTCAGATTGAAGGTTAGTATTGCAGCTGGAGCTGCTTCTTCTATGTTTTTTACCCTGCCTGGGGGGTCCATTCATCTTTCTTTTTAATTGGACGAATTGACTTTTTCCAAGTCTATCCAAATCTAAGAAAAAGGGTTTTGGTTGGAGTTGGGCCTCTGAAAATCTAGAACATGTAGAAAAATCTTGGCAGGGAGAATCAATGTAAATTACTAAGCAAATCAGAGGGATTAATTCACTATTAACATCTTCCTGTAAAGGACCAGTGCCCCGTGGGAGGGAGGAAAAGGTGGGTCCGCCTAAGAGGACCATCCTGCACGGTCCCTAGTTACCATCTCCCCTGGCAGTAGTGTTGGTAATACTGTAGTGTAAGTTCTGTAGTACTCTAGAGCAGCATTTCTCAACCTTTTTTTTTTTTTAGTCATGGCACCTTTTTAAAAGTATGCAAAATCTTCATGCATGAAAAAAAACATAAAGGCACCCTGGTTGAAAAGGCTGCTCTAGAGATATTAGATTGTAAACCACTCCAGGGCATGGACTGATATGAATTTGAATGCGATTTGTTGTCTCTGTATAAATTCCAGAAACAATGCTCCAATTACATTTTTCATTCGCCTTTATTTTATTATTATTATTTTAGGTCTTTGAAGAATTTCGGGAGATTGAAATTGATGTGTATATTGTAAACTGTCCGGGTAAGTGGTTTACATTTCTTTAGTTTTACGGTGTATTATTAAACCTTCTTAGGGTTACATTTCCCATCAGAAAAAACATTCAGAAAACATTGGATTTTTTTCTAACATGTTAAAATGTGCATTATAGGTCTGGAAATGACTGAAAACCCCAAAACATTTAGTTATTTTCTGAAAGCAGAAAATGTGTAAAATATAATTAGGGTAGGTGCAATTGTTTTTCAAACCTAAAAAAAAAAATACACTAAAACCAATTACTAGCTTAATGTTATTTACACTTTAAAAAAAAAAAAAGAATTTAAAATACCCTGATGTCTCCCCTTCACTGCTTCCAAACAAATCAAGTACTAATAGTACTTGATTTGTTTACATTCCTGGCCACTGGTGGCCAAATTGTGCCCGCCCTGGACCCGGAAAAGCTCAGAACAGAGCACTTCCAATTACACTTCAAAAAAGGATCACTGGGGAAGAAGAGGCTTGCAGCCGACTGATGACACCATGTCAGCCTAGGCAATGTCAATGGGCTGGATTAAGCCTGGTTTTATAATAATAGATGGATGAAGAATGAATGATCCACCTTGATCTGTTTTTAAAGGAATTGTCCACAAAAATGGACATAAAAGACTAAAACCCTTCCAGACTTAAAACTAATGTTTATTGCTAGGAGTAAGGGCATCCCTAGCTTATTTGTCACCCGTGGTGGCAAGGGCAGGGGTCGGGAAATAGCCTCTTGTATATCACGGCCATGCTTTGTATCAAGGAAAGAACATGAATTTACTTATACATTGCAGGGACACTTACCTGAATGGCCATTGGTAGCTATGGTAGGTATGGTAATGTCACTGGTTGCCAGGAGCTTGGTGGGATGCCAGCAGAGCATCCCAGGTTGCTAGGAGCTGGTCAGAGAGATGTGCATCTCCCCATCCAGCTCTTAGCAACCTGGGATGCTCTGGCTGGAAATGGGGTGGTATGCCACTCCGCCTGCCTTTCCCCCACGATGCCGCCTCATTATAGGGACAGCCCTGGCTGGGAGTTTGTAATGTATCTTCTCATCCTGTCCCCTCTCCTCTTTTGGTATTGATTCCATTAGTACTCTAGTATACTGAACCCTTCTGGAGTGATCATCTCAGCGTTCCATAGGGGACAGGCCAATTGGGTTGGTGTATGTATGTGATGGCTAATCATCATATTCTTCCATTTGCAGCGGCTGTGTTACAACAACTGGAAAACAGCAATTTCTTTAATGAAAACATCACCCAGTCTTCCATCTTTGCCTCAATCCATGATGCCGTTTCCTATATCTCAAGTAGACAGAACATCGAGTCCATTTCACTCTCAAGTAGACAGAACATCGAGTCCATTTCACTCTCAAGTAGACAGAACAGCGAGTCCAGTTCCGTCCAGGAAATAACAGCAATTTAACTAAAACCATCCTTTGAAGAAGACATCAGAAGGCACAATTCTACCATAGAGACTATGGACACAATAAAGAGCCCATTTCATCTCTAATTCTCATATACACATAAACCCAATCGCTAACATCTCATTAATATTTGACATGTTAAAAGTAATTTCCAATATGTTCAAATCAGATTTTATTCAAATTAAACCCTGGTGATCCTGCCATGAAGGTCCTTGTGCAGGTACTTCCTGTAGTAGGGTGACAACGGGCTGTCAGTGTCCCCCAGTTGTTTATCCTGTATTGTCAGCCTGCCACACAGGCAATGGGGACTACAAGTGGCCATTTTACACTGGCATGACCTACTGTTGTCACCATCAGCAAACCAGCCCTGAGAAATGCCATGAAGCCATCGCTGGAGTGCATGAAGACAGGAAGTAGCTGGAAAAAGGCTGCTGGAGATTGTCAGCACTGAGATGCAACAAGGATAAACAAAGTCGCAAATAAGCTTTTTATTTTCAATGTTGTAATAAAATTGCAATGTTATATGGTACACGGGACTAATTATCACTCAGTCATCTATTTTTATATTGTCAATACTTACTATATCCTTCTTTGAGCCTTGAACATACTTCTGCGGAGACCAGTCCACCGGGATTGTCTGCTGGCTCCTGTAGACATGAGATCGATCAATTGGGAAGTGCATTGATTTTTAAAAATTAAAAAGAGAACTAAAGCCAAATATTTTTTGTCCTATTTCGGGTCAAAGGAGCATATTTACTAACGTCCTCCTGTGACCCAAAGTCAGCATCTAGAGGGCTACCGCTGGCTACAGCGCAGAGCCGTGCTGCAGCCAGGAAGGATCTCGATAATATCGTCAGATCCCGATAAAATCCACCCTGCTGTCTGATTGACAGCTGGCTCTGCCTCTCTAGAGCCAGGGGCAGCTGTGCCTGCCCCCCTCCAATGAACATTGAAGGAATAGAGATAAGCGGTTCTTCGGCCGTGGGTGGTACAAACGGATGCAGAGAGCAGTGAGCAACGACTCTTTCTGCCCCGGCTCTCGATCTTTCCTGCCCGGCTCTCCATCTATAGAGCCAACATGTGACAGCCTTTTCTTGGTCAGTGATACCCAATGCGGGATAACACTACCGTTGGCTCCAAAATGTGGTCTACAGTAATAGAACTAACAGGCCTCCCCCTGTAGGAAACTTCTATGATGGATCCACAGCACACCAACACACCTTAAATCTAGGGTCGGTTGCTATGGGTTACCACAAATCAGTAATCTTCTTGTTGTCTGGGCATAATTTCACTCACTTTGCCCATCAGCACTCACCGCCCTCTATGGGGATCGATGAAAGCGATGTCCAGACTGTATATATAATGCTGAGAACTTTATTGTAGAACTTTAGGGAGAGAGAGGTTGAGGGCTAGGATCATGCAGATAGATGTAGACTCCTTTAAATGGCAGAGTGTGATCGCTGTCTCCATTCACAGCAGGACGAACACCTGGCATAGCCGTACTTGAGGTAGAAATCACCAGTCATGTTCATCCTTGTCATCAGTAGTAAGCACTGGGCCTACAGACTCAGGTTCCAGTGTAAGCACACGGCTGGTCCCCAGGCTTCCGGCCTAGCCATCTCAGACAATCCAAAGCAGCCCCCCCCCCACTGGCATGGTCCAGGGGGAGGAAGAGGGAGCTCACATGGTCCACCCTGAGTATTTATCTCCTCCCCCAGCATGCACCACTGGCCATAAGCCCCATAGCGATTGGCTGGAGAGTTATATCTACTTATAGCAATCTCTCATTGGTTGCTTTGCTCTGTGACCAGGGTACACTCAGCAGCAGACAGATGCAAAAGATGACAGATTGATTAGGGGAAACCAAATGAGCGCAGACTACAAATCAGCATCAGACTGCATACAATCTGCAAATAGTACATTTAATAGCACTCCTGGCTATAGGGTGCTACAAAATAAAAAGGAACATTAGACAAGATAAGATAAACCGATAGCATGGAACTGGCATTATCCACCGTGCCCAATAATAGGCTTGCACCCCAACATAATTAGAACTTCTTTTAGGGCCAGTTCACACCATATGCAGTAGTGATGCAGTCCGTTTATTTCCACTGTGCAGTTAAAATACATCCCAATGCTTTCCTATGGGCTTTCTTGTGCTTAATTCACACCATTGCAGTCGATTCAACTGCATTTAGAAAAAGTACTGCTTGTCCTACTTTAACTGCATCAAAAATGCATCAAACGCGGTGCAAACGTAACACATAAAAAAAAAAGAATGGCTAAAGTCAAAACTAGCACCATGCCGGCCAACAAAGAAGGCATGACTGAGCTACCAAACAAACATAGGAAATGCTCTGACAGGAAAAGGAAGCGGCCTACATGCCTAATTAGCATTTTTTAGTGCAGTTAACAAAACGCATCAAGCGCATTGCAAACGCATGGCAGTGCAACGGCGTAGCGCACGCAGTTGCGATGCAGTTTCTGGTGTGAACTAACCCTTAGACTTGCCGCTACCATAAACATAAACATCGGACGATCGTCCCTTTTCCTCGAAGTAATGTGTATTTTCAGCTATTCCGGGCTTACTTTGCTCCCGCCCGATAGTTATATAAACGTTTCCCTGTTGACTCAATATGCAGCATTGGAAATCAAAGTGTGATTGTGTTTTCGGCCTCATATTTTGGCAAAAGCAAAACGAGCGACACAAAACCAACCCAAACAGCCCCCTCTGTCCCGAGACCGGTGCACAATGTCTATTTTATAAACAAAACCGCATTTTGTGGCCGTATCCGTCTCACCTTCGTGTTTATTCTAATAATATAATAACCAGAGCTATGTAATGTTAAATAACAGCAGCAGAGTTCAATGACCTGATAATGGAGCTCTATGGTGCAGGCAGCCAGAGGACTTCCATCCACAATGGAAAGAAATGGCTCTTCAAACACTTCTCAAATAAAGACAAATAGGAAAGTAAAAAAGAAAAATCTCCATTCCTTTATACATAGTATCGGGTGATCCATTCTGGCATAATCTTCTCGGATGACATTAATTACATAGAATGTCAGGCAGGGGGATGGTAGTTCAGGCAAAAGCACCCAATTAGCATGCTGCTGTTTTCAGAATAGATCATGTGACCGAGGCTTGGGCTCTTTACCGTATCCTACAGCAGCAGATTCTGCAAAAAAGGGAATTTATGCTTATTATTAACACCATCATGATTCTAAAGAGCAACAATGGGATATAATTCTAAAAGGTTCCTTAGGTGTAAAAAGAAACAAAACAGGCTGCAGCTGGATCTGTTCCCTGCAGTACCTCTTCTTTGCCACAAGATGTCCTCAGTTTTTTTGGGGTGAATGACACCCAGCAGCACTCAGCCCTGAATACTGAGGACTCTACTGGGTGTCATGGCCTTGTTCCCTGAGGGGGTGTCACCATGACGGTCTTCATTCACATTGTAATGGGGCAGAAGGAGTTGTTGCTCACTGCTCTCGGCCTCCCTTTGCTCCACCCACGGCCGATAGAAGATCCAAAGAAGAAGAAATGCAATAAGACAAAAAAGTAAAAACTAATACCAGTGCCGGCCACCTGCCACTGCTGCTCTCTCTGCTTGTGCAGGGTGACTGGCCTTGTCTCCGCCCCCTCCTGTAATAAAGACCGGTCACTGCTGCTCTCTCTCCTTGTGCAGGGTGACTAGTCTTGTCTCCGCCCCCCTCCTGTAGTTTTCTGCAGGTAGCCTGTAGTGGGCAGGGCTTTCTGGGCCCATCCCATATCTCTTCTGTCTGCATGGGCTATGTGCAGTAGACATGTGCATTCAGATTTGGATTGTAGCGGGAAACAGTTTTGGGAAACGAGCAATGGACTCCGGACACAGACTTCAGGAAAACAAATCTTTTTTATTCTGCGCAGAAGACTCAGCCGACTATCGTCTGAAATCCTGAGTGGCCCTTTAAGGCCTGGTTCACACCTGGGCGTTTTACAACGCTGATTGACGCGCTGTAAAACGCCCAGCAAGTGAAATCCCATACTTTGCCATGGGCATGGTTCCCACCTGGGCGTATTTCAGCGCGTAGGAACGCGCTGCAAAACGCCCAAAGAAGTACAGGAGCATCCTTGCCGTGCGTTTCCATTGGTGTTCCCGAGTGTGGATCGGGGTTAACAAAGCGGTAAACCCCAATCCACACTCGGGAATACAGTGTACAGGTCTTACCTTGCCCACTGTGTCCTCCGGCGGCTGCCGACTTCCGTCCCTTGCGTCGCAGGGGGGCGGAGCCTGCATGAAGTTTGAAAGTGAAACATTTTTTTTTTAAAATAGAGAAAATAAGGAAAAAAAAATGGAAAAAAAAGGCATACCGCCAGTGAAACGCGCGTTTCACTGAACGGAAAAACGCGCTAAAAAACGAGCAAAAAAAACGAGCACAATAAATATGCCCAGGTGTGAACCCAGCCTAAGGGCGGTCACAACAGATATATAATAACAATTGCATCATATTACACATTTCCAATACGTCTCTTTCCTTATTCAGCTCTAAGCCAATCAGCAAGCAGCATTTGCAATTCTACTACATACTGTTTACACCTGTTATCGATCTTGGCTCATCTTGACACAAACTGTTAAGCTGCCCATACACCTTACAATTATCTGCAGATTTTCTGTGGTCAGATGGAAAAAGTGCAACAGGTGGAGATTACTCCATCCACACAGTTTAGTGTAGATGGAGGAATCTGTTGCCCCTTCTGACCACAGAAAATCTGCAGATAATTGTAAGGTGTATGGTCAGCTTTACACTCTGTGACAGGAAAGGAGGTGGTCTTAGGCTGGGCACACACCTTACAACCATCGCAAGACTTTTGTCTTGCGATGGTTGTAAGGTACTTGAAAAAACTTACGATCTGCCTATGTTGCATAGGCAGATCGTACTTGCGATGATCGCAAGCCACGCCCCCTGAGGGGCGCACACGGCCCGTACGGCTGTTATCGTACGGACATGCCACAAACCCGCCGAACATCGTACGATGCTTGGCGGGTTTTCGAACATGTCCGTAAGTCGTCGGGCCTAGCCCGTACGGC